CTCACCCCCCTGTTGTCTGTGTCCATTGGTTGGGCTTATATGAATGCATACAAGTCCTTTGGTTGATCTCTCCCCCTTACCCCCACCCTCCCCTACCTTCCCTCTGAGGTTTGATGGTCTGATCGATGCTTCTCTGTCTCTGGATCTGTGTTTGTTCATCAGTTTATGTTGTTCCTTATATTCCATAAGTGAGTGAGATCATGTGATATTTATCTTTCTCTGACTGGCTTATTTTGCTTATCAAAATGCTCTCCAGTTCCATCCATGCTGTTGCAAATGGTAAGAATTCCTTCTTTTTCACCGCAGCGTAGTATTCCATTATGTAGATGTACCACAGTTTTTTAATGCACTCATTTGCTGATGGGCACTTAGACTGTTTCCAAATCTTTAAATCTTTGATCTTCCTTTGGTCTTACCCATCTTATCATTTGAACATACATGAGCGTTTCCCACTCTTTGCTGGTAAGTGTTTATTTAACAACCAGCCTCCTGGGGTAGGGAAGTTGAAAAAGCCTTGACTTGTAGTACTTGCCAATAATCTAAATGCGCCCCTCCCCGCCCCCAGCCCCCTCATAGCTGAGTCCAAGTTCCCAAAGTGAAGTCAGGAAACCCAGGGTTTGGAATTTCACAGTCAGCTCACAGTCAGCTTCACAGTGGGCTGGTGTAAGCTGGCTCTAGCACACAACTGGATCTTTCCCTTGAACTTCCCTGTTGTTTAGTTCTTGATTTTGATTTACTATGAATTCGTATGGTCAATCTCAATTTGTGCTTTAGTTTCCTCATTGGTAACATGGAGATAGTTATAAATTTATCCTACAGCATTGTACTAGATAAGGTAATGTAGACTGCCTTGTGTATAGTAAGTGCTCAGACCACACTATCCCAGACAGAATGCTTAATTTCAACATCAGCCTGGAAGCTCGCCCAGAGGGTGTCTGCGGAAGGGCCATGCAGCAGAACTCCAGACCCACAGAGGGGTCTGAGCAGATCACCCAGCAGTGAATCTGAGGGTCGGATTATTCTCTGAAAGAACTTTCAGCAGAGAGCAGGTTGGGGGCCAGACAGTGTGCCCTAGGAAAGAGGCGCCACCCTCCCCACCTCCCACAAAGAGGAGGCGCCCCCTCCCCCACTTGTGGAATGACTCTGAGCTGGAAATCTGCCCCTGGGGACTGGACATCTGGCCTGGTGGAAGCCTAGGCAGACGCCTCCTAGCAAGAACCAGCTGTGCTGAAAGATTAGAGAGCCAAGCAGGGCTGGGGTGTTTTTGTTTGTTTGTTATCCCCTCCTGTTTGAGGTAGGGACAAGGGGGTGCCAGTGACACAGGCAGAGCTGAGGCATTAGGAGGAGAGGAAGTGCCTGCCTATCCCTTCTACAAGCTAAGAGCACCACCCCCGACACCAGTCTGTTTAAATCATACTAACCAGGACCACTCCCCACAGAGTCCAGTTCGCTGGGGAAAGGGAGAGCAGTCCTGAAGCTGACTCAGCCCCTGGGCTAGGGAGGCCCCGCTCACCGACTACATGGGGTTCTGCCCTGCAGGGCTTCGGTCAGGTTGCCCAGGGCCAGGCAAGGACAGCAACTCACCAGAGAACTGCCAGGGAGGCCGGAGGCCACACACCAAGTGGCCAGATTGAATAACATTGGAGTAAAATCCAGCAAGCTTCACAAATAGCAAATGTAAAAGTTTTTTTGTTTTTGGGGGGTTTGGTTTTTCTTTCTCTTTTATCTCTCTCTTTTTTTTCATATTCTCTTATTGTTATCTTTCATTTCAGTCTATTTTTTTCTCTTTCTCTTTTCTTTTATGAAATTTTTAATTTAATTTTTTTCCTTTCTCTTTTCTTACCCAGTTTTCTTTTCCTATTCTATATTTTATTTTATTCATTATTATTGGCCCGGTGCATGAAATTGTGCACAGGTGGGGTCCCTCGGCCTGGCTGGTGATCGGACCAATCGGGGCTGTGGGAGGTTGGTCGGCAAGGGGGAGGGACCGCAAGAGATTGGCTATGGGAGCACACTGACCACCAGGGGGCAGCTCTTGCATTGACCATCTGCCCCTGGTGGTCAGTGTGCATCATAGTGACTGGACAACGGGTCATTCGGTTGTTCGGTCGCTTAGGCTTTTATATAGATAGATCTTTACTTTTTTAAAATATTATAAATTTATTCATTATTTTCTACCTTTTATTTTTATTTATTTATTTATTTATTTTTAAATATTTTTTAAATATATTTTTTTTTTGATTTTTTTACAGAGGGGAAAGGAGAGGGATAGAGAGTTAGAAACATTGATGAGAGAGAAACATTGATCAGCTGCCTCCTGCACACCCCCTACTGGGGATGTGCCCACAACCAAGGAACATGCCCTTGACTGGAATTGAACCTGGGACCTTTCAGTCCGCAGGCCAACGCTCTGTCCACTGAGCCAAACCAGTTAGGGCAAGATAGTGGATATTTATTCAATTTAGAATTCATGGTTCTCATAAACTTAAGTCAATGGTTGCTCTGTGAAGTTAGCTTATCTCTAAATTCAAAGTATAGTAGTAGACTAAATTGGATAGTAAGCAAAATATAGATAAAAAGTTTAAATGAGGAAACAGTTTATCAGTTCTTGAAAAGTAAGATAGTAGATTAATACAAAGTGTAAATAAAACATTCTCTGAAATTATAGCAATTGAAACTTTAGTAGAAAAATACTTTTAATATTTAAAATGACCATTGCACATAAGTAATTGTCTCACAAGCTTTTAATATTATGTTAGTACAACTGGATTATAAGGGTATTTCTTCTATTATAGCAATAATGAAAAAATATTCTTATGGCTAATTAGTTGTTAAAACAAGAGCCCCAAATATCCTTTTAATTTTTGTCACTTTGTCTTAGTTTTTGTTTTTATAGTTAAAACAATTAGGACACTTCCCAGGCCAATGATTTCTTCTTTGCAAATTTGAGTTATATCTCTAAGTCTATATTCTTTTAAAGGTTCCGTCAGAAAATGTATCAAAATGATTAAAATGTATTTAGCTTTTATTGTTTTTTAATGGCAATTCTGTATTGTTACCTTCAATACAGAATTTCTGAGTAATTTGAGGCATTCCTTTTGCTGACGTTCTGTTTAGTCTCAGCCAATAGAATATAGTACAAACTTACTCTCTTTTCTTTAATTAAACTTTTTAGTAAGTTCCTGGAGACGTGCTGATGACAGGAAAGATGACCGGGCAGAAGAGCGGGATGTTCCTCGTCGTGTTCCTCCTCCAGCTCTTTCAAGAGATCGAGAAAGAGACCGAGACCGGGAAAGAGAAGGTGAAAAAGAGAAGGCCTCGTGGAGAGCTGAGAAAGATAAGGAATCTCTTCGTCGTACTAAAAATGAGACTGATGAAGAGGTGTTTCTGTTTTTGGGGGATATATTCCTAGAAGTGGTATTACTGGGTCAAATGGAAGTTCCATTTTTAATTTTTTGAGGAAACACCATACTGTTTTCTGTTTTCCACAGTGGCTGCACCACTCTGCATTCTCACCAGCAGTGAAGGAGGGTTCCTCCCCTGCCCCCCCCCCCCCCCCCCCCCCCCCCCCCAACTGTTTGTACCTCACAGTTGGCACACACCTCTCTGCTTATTCACCATGCTGCAACCAATGACCAAGGGCATTGGAGTCAGGTGCAAATCCTGGCTGCCACTGGCCAATTCTATAACTTGGAACACAAAGTTTAAAAATACTGAGTCTCTATTCATTCTCATATATATGAGATAAAAATACTTATATTGAATAGTTAGAGGGGGAAATGAGATAATAGAAATATATTAATTGAGCATAGTGGCTTGTGTTAATTTCTGGGTTCTCTGTTCTGTTCCACTGGTCTATACCTCTTCTTGTGCCAGTACCAGGCAGTTTTGAGAACAGTAGCTTTGTAGTATAGCTTGGTATCTGGTATTGTGATCCTCCTAACATTGTTCTTTTTTCTCAAGATTGATGCAGCTATATTTGGTCTTTTTATATTCCAGATGAATTTTTGGATAGTTTTTTCTAGGTCTTTGAAGTATGCCATTGGTTTTTTAATGGATTGAATTTATAGATTGCTTAGGGTAGTATGAACATTTTAATGATGTTGATTCTACCAATCCATGAACATGGTATATTCTT